AATTATTGTCTTTTTGAGGGGAGGATTCTAAGTCCTTGATAGTGTGTACATGATGGATAAGGATAGGTTTTTATTTAGCTGAATATTTAAACTTGGCTGCCCTGGGAAATCGTTGTCTTGATAAGTATTCTTTGTTAATTTGCAACTTTAACATTCATTTTACTTTGTATCTTGAAACAGAACAAACAAGAGTTTCTTGTGAAAACAGCAAACTGTTAACACCTGAAAAAAGAGAAAGGTGTAAGAATTGTGTGGGTTTCAGAAACCCACAGTGGAATGGCTGTAAGCCATTTAAAAAAAAAGATTATTAAAGAAAAGGATTTAAAAAACACTGTTTATAAAATAAAACACATAAATCGTGAGTGATAATGACAAGTATTTTAAAATTTATATATTCATAAAATTATAACAAAAATAAAAAAATATGAATGTTTAATGTTGCAAAGGATCTGCTTGGCAATTCTCTAAACAATGCCCCTGTGAAGAAGACGAATTGTTCAGAAGATAAATTAGACTGGATTAAAAAAGACGAATGTCTTTCTCCATGTGGCACTTTTGATATGTGGAATATTCAACCAAAAAGTCTTGGAAGTTTTGCAAGCCCAGAGGTTGCAGTGCGCTTTTGAATGTGTAACAAGACAAGGGCCCGAGAATCATCAGGAAACAACTCAGATGCACCTATAATTCCTAATATTGGCAGCATCACTTCATTTCAGTACGGAAGTGGTTTTGACATGTAGAAAAAAAAGTGACAATTACCCAGTGGAGCAGAAGCTGAATGTGACATCCCAGATTCCATTTGCATGAGTACTTGTACTGTTACAATTTGGAAATACAATACAAGAAAGGCCGAAGTAAAATCCTAAGAACGGAATGCATTTTTTATTCCTATTGCTGCCTGTTCTCTCTTTTTGTGTTCAACGACAGTTCTGCTGCCTTATTACCCACAGCAGTCTAACTGGATTTAGACTTTCTAGCAGCTCAGCCTCCAGTGTCATTTAACTGGTCTAGCTGTTTGCAGGCAGCACTTTCAGTGGAATGTACGAAGAAGGCGCCTGTCAGTTTTCTCTTCCCATGCTGAGCTAATCCTCCCTGCAGGGCACTTCAAAGAGCACGGTAGTCAAGGATATGGTTAATTACTGAATCTCCTTGAAACTGATGCCAAATCAAGACTTTTTCTGGTCCAGCTGAATTCTGTCTAGCCAGGACTAATTGTGGGCCCTGTTTCATTCTAAAAGGGAAAAAAAAGACATGACAAAATCTCCATGTTAAGAGTGGACTCACCGTTCCCCTGATTTTACTCTCTTTGGTTTTAAAAAACCCAACATAAATTTAACTTTTGTCAAGAGAGGTCTAAGGTATGGCTTGATCTGTGTGTACATGATTTCTGATGCAAAAGTAAATGATCTAGATAAGTGTGTATATATGAAAATCAAGCTTAACGGTAGAAATTGGGTGACACGTCTTTGCACAGAGGATTGTGGGAATGTGAATGCAGCATTCTAGCCACATCCTTGAAGCCAATCTGTAGGTTCCTTGGATACATTCATTCATCCCTCCACACGCAGCAGTGTATACAGTATGTATATAGGATAGCGCCAGTATGTCAGTGTACGAGCTGCAAAGGAATAAGTAGAGGTTAAAGCTCAGCTGAAAGGCAAAAAGAAAGAAAAAAAAAACAAGTTTCAGCTGTGGAGCCTCTTCAGCTTTGTGAGGGGATGAGGGCGAGATCAGGAATATGAGGCAAAGCATGGGTAAGGAGAACAAAAGAAAGGCCAGAATGTTAAAAGGTGTTGATATGATATTATATATCCTATTATATGTATACCAGTGTATACATATTATATACGTGTGGGTGTATGTAAATCCAGTCCTTCATGCATGCACACATATATTTGTTTCTGTAGTCACACCATATTGTGAAGTGAATATGTACAAAAGGAACCACTACTGTATGTACCTTAAGCTTGCTGCTTATCTTACAACCAAGCTAACGCCGGCTGTTATAATAATTATAGGTAAGGCTTGTTCATGTAGCCACTTTGATTCTATCAATCCCAAAGTTATGTTTTCCTGATGCAGAGCAATTCTGAAAGCTGTTTTGCCACAGTGTTCATAATTGCACATTACAGTTCGCATTTGCCGCAAAAATAATATTTATCCTCTTAAAATGTTGTATTTTTTTCAATTCCATACTCTGTCATTACGAGAAAAGTTAAATTAAAGTCAAGCATTTTGCATCTAATTGCAGGATACATGCTATGATAAAAGTAACTTGAACTAGATCATTTATACCTGGGAGCCAAAACTACAATCCTTAATCCCTGACATTAAGTGGTATTTTAAAACAACAAAAATGTTTTAAAAATAAATGAGGGGGGGGAGAAAACAATGGAAATTATTTTAGCTGATAAAGACATGCTGTGGCAGCAGAATAATTTCCTTTTGGAGTTGCACACTTTTTTTGTGCATGTAAGTGTACTTTGCCTAGAAAGATGAAGTGATCACAGAGATCCATATAGGAATATAAGAAGCTCTCAGATATTCAATTGTATGGAGGAATGTGGCATATTATTCTCTCACTGAAGCTATCACTGTGTAAGTTATTGCAATGGACAAAGAAAAAGAATAGAACAAATTGTTAACCTTGTAGCTGCACTCTTGCTCAGCACTATACTTCCTGCTGCACATGTGGCTTTGACATAAAGAATTCAGTTCTGGAAGGACTTTTAAGTAACCAATCAGAGTTAAATAATATTTAGTTCTGTGTTTTGTTTCATTCAAATTTCTTGAGTTGCATTTTAAACTTTCTTGAGTTGATAAAAAATCTTGCAAGGTAATTAATAAGCTTTCCAGAGATTAAAGAAGAGAAGTCCACCTGGTTGTTTTTTTTTTGTGAGAGGTTTGAATTTTTAATTCAGAAGAGGCTATGTCAGTGAACTCAGTTTTCAAAATCATTTTGTGAGAGTCTTGTGTTAATCTGCAATGCCTATATTTAACACCACTGGAAGTACAATATCGGCAAGTTTGAATGATTGTGGTATAATGTGAGACTGCAGGTGTCATGACCACTGGACTGAAAATTAGCAGTTTCCACTTTGCTCAGTTCACAGAGCTCTGCCGACATACACAAAGTTTTCACACTAAGAAGATTAGTGAATACAAACAGGTACTGTCACACAATTCTGAATATTTTATTGCAGAATTGCTCCTAACATTGGACCTAAATATTCAAATATCTGAAATGAGCACAGCTGGTCATTTAAATCACACAACAAGAGATATCAATTTGTCCAGACCTTTTTTAAAAACAATGTGCAGGGTTCTGGGTACCCAACAAGTAAGATTTCTAAAACAAATGGCTGTAAATTAATATTAAGAGAATTCATAGCAGAAAGAGATCAGATTAAATCCAGAAAATTAGACATGGATATTTCTAGTGAATAATGCAGAGTTGTTTTGATACTGTAAAATGAAAGAAAACAGACAAATGAGGTGGAGTCCTTATGTAATGTTTACTATAATGATTCCACGTAGGCTAGTTTAGGCCCCAGGACAGCAGGTGTCTGCATCTTGGAATGACATCATAGACAACACAAGCCATAGCCTATAGAATCAGTTCATGTATTTAAATAAAGTGACATCACACACAGAATGCATAACATCCCTATTCATATTCCCTCCCCCTCCCCCCTTTTCGAACATTAGGACATATCAAAAGTTACAATTCCATCCCAACCCTGCATAATTATTAAATACAAACATTAAGAAAAAATAATGGAATGTCAAATAAGGAGTGAACAGCAGCAAAGCACTTTTATTCAAAGGACTGGCAAGACCTGCATACCAAAGTTGTCTCGTTCTGACTAGGAGGTGAGAGCTCCTAATGCTTAGACCTCCCCAAGCAAAACAGGGCATTGTCATGGAGTGGGGTGCACACAAGAAAGCAGCAGCAACTGTTCGGCTGTGCCTGATGTGGTCTATAGTGCTGAGGGGCTGAGCAGAGGCTAAGAGGAAACAGCTCTGAACCACTGTCCAAGCCTTGCTCTAAAACATAGTAACAGTGTTTTCCTGCAAACTCAGTGCAGAAGAACTGGACTTTTCTTAATGTGGGCAATTTTTAATTACATGTTTTAGCGGACTGATATGAATCCATGCAAATGTGTTCAGTTTATGAAGCGCTAAGTGCCTGTTATTGCACCCCATGGTTAGAAGCAAACACAGTTTCAAGCTGATCCAGTGTTGAGTAGTGCTACACTCATTATGAAAAGCATTGGATAGGACTGTATTGGACTGGACTTTCATAAAGATAAAGTATCTTGTGGATTACTGATCACTTCAAAGCCATCTTATATACCTACTTTATAGTTGATGCTACATTTACAGAAATTGCTCAAAGTCTTACTGAATGTTCTTTTAAAAGCAATAATCTGCTATAAAGACTCTTTAATGTGTGTGCTTGAATAGTGCATAGCAAATTCCCTAGTGCTGGTTTCCCTGTCTCATCTTAAGACTATGTACACAGAAGCCCACAGATCTCAAGCCCTGTGTGTCATAGTGGGCAGGCAGGTTTACAGGAGAGTGAGACAGAACAAGGGAGGTCTAATGAGAGAGTGGAACAGCCTGTATGTGTGCTCTACTCTGTTCGTGCAGAACAGTTCAGAGCAGGTGCCAATAAGAATCAGGTCTCGCACTTTTAGACCAGGAGAGTTTTAAAGGGTTGGCCCATGTAGCAGAAGATGCTGCCAATACCTGTCAGAACACACATACACACACAAAAAATCCAGGGTAATCATAAAAAATATTTACAACCAAAATACTAGTAAACAAAACATTTACTTTTGCATTTTTGTAGCTAAAAGGCTGTCAAACAACCTTTTAAACCCATCTGTACAATATGATTCATTTCAAGAATACAAATTATTAGCATTATTTTTTGCACTATTTTATCCTGCCAAATTAAAAAAATATATTGTGGCAGCCTGCGTGTTCTATGTTGATTTTTTTTCTGTTTTCAGTTAACATCCCCCCTCCCCTCCACCCTCCCCCCCCGAAAAAAAAACAAATGACAAAAAAGGTACTTTCGATACCTTTTTCACAAAAGGATGCGCATACAAGTTAAAAAATACAAGCTCCAGTAAAAAGACAGCAAGTGCCTACACAAGTATTTTAAACCAGCCATTAAGAATATCCATTCCAGAAGAAAAATAGGTACAGTTCAGGAATGTGATCATTTTCCTGCAAAGCAGTAACAATATGCACTGTGTTCTACTAGGGAATTCTCTACACCACACAGCTGGTCACATCGCTCCCCACACTGTGTTTACAGTTCGGGATTTCTTTTTTATTTTTTACACCCAAGGCAGAATAAAGTTTTACTAAAACTCAAGACTTTTACAGTTACAGTGACAAAAACATTTTAATAGACCCACCATTTAAATTTTGACTGCAAAATAAAAATAAAAAAAGATTTTTTTTCTGTTTTTGTAAAATGCCCAGGCATTCTCCAATATTACAAATACTGGTATACTTTTACAGTAAACAAGAAAATTGTAATATATATTTATATATATTTACTAAAACCCCGTCACCAAAAAACCAATATACACATAGCCACTATGGCATTCAGAGAAACTTTATAAGCAAACTTGGAAAAAAAATACTTGATCATTTAAAACACACATACACGCAAATAATTTTTACCCTTGTACTTATTTCAATACTGTAAACGTATTTTAAGACAGAGTGCACTAATTTTTCTTAGTTTCTGCTGTTCCTGAATTTTGTCCAGTCTCGTCCTCGACTATCTGTGGTTTAACATTCCACTCCGGCGTTTGTCTATCGAAGGATGAAGTCTTGTCCTGAAGTGAAGAATTCAATATATGTATGTGCGCTTCTATGCATAAGAATATGAATATGCAAATACAGACACATATAAAAGTTGTGCTGGGTACTTCTACCTAAATGTATTTTCTGTTTCATTTTTTCATTTATTCTTTCTCGAAATTCTCTTAGAATTTGTATGCAAATTAGGATTATGTCAACAAATTGATGTTTTTTTTTTCTCATTCAATCCTTTTGCTTCACAAAAGTGTTGCATTTGTCTCAAGAAACATTAAATAGGAAGATCAGTATTCAAGGCACACCCATGTCAAATTGAATGGCAGTAGAACAACTGTCCCAATAAATTAATTTACAATTTTATAGTGCCAGTATTGTGAATGCCACGCTGAGCAACACTGGCACTTGAATCTCAGACACTCCCTTGTTCTCTAACCCTTTTGTGGGGTAAAGTAGATCCATGAAAAGTAATTTCTTGCTCAGAAGCCGTTTTTGTAAAATCAAATTCTAAAGTGCGGGTCGACTGAGTAGATCTTTCTTTTAATTATTAGACAATGTTCCTACAAGTTGCCAGGACTGGGAAAAAGCATTATTTAAAATAATGCAGCATTATAATTTAGGCAAAGATGGTGCTTGCTTAACAGAATTTTTTTTAAAAATTCAAAGTTCAGCTGTGCATTCTTTATGTGACAAAGTTGCTACTTCTTAGAATGTTCAACTACACATCACAGGAAGTCCTATATGAAAAAAAGAAAGAAAAATAGTCTTACTTTTTTAGTACAGGTTTAACAGAGAACTACAGATACTGTTACTGCACTGTGCAATGAATTAATCTGGAGAGATGGTACTGTTTCTACTCAACTGGGAAGTTACCAGATTAACCAGAAAAAAAATCCATAACCATTTTGAGGGTGTCGCACTAATTCAACAGATACATGAACTATGTTTTATTATAATATTTTAGCTATGGGGTCCTGGGGTTTCTTCTAAAAAGAACTAAACAAATAAAAATATAACTAAAATCAAATATAAGTAGGGTAAGCAGATTTTTTCTCAAGTGATTTGATATTGTAATGTTTGGGATTCTTTAATGAAAATGCAATTTCTTATTTAACAGTTGAAATATACATGTATATCTCAATATATCTGGTTAAAAAGGTGACATCCATTAAGACTGAAAAATTTGAGTCTTCCTGACAAAAATGACCCATTCTCATCCAAAAGCACACATAGCTATAGATGACACAGAACAGGTTACAAACAATCACTTGAAATTTATGGGATGATTACAACAGAAAGGAAGAGATATAGTGCTGAAAGCTATTTGTCTTCTTCAAATGTAGTTCCCTTTTTTCAAACTGCCTGGCACGTGGTTTGTGAGAAACAGCTGAAAAAGATGTGCATTCCAATGAGTTTCCATCAGTTTTGTTACTGAGACCTAGTTACAGAACTCAATAGCCACATATAAAACATTTTAGCATCAAGCCATGTTCTTTAGGGGAGCTGGCGCTGTGAAAAGCTAGATTTCTTTCCAGTTAGTGGGAATTACACTCTAGGCACAGGGAAACTAATGTACTAAACTATGCTTCCTAATTATCCAGAATAAGTGAACCTCAGAAATTATGGCCAGTTCATCTTTCTTGTTAGTTCTCCTTGCACTGCCTTTGCATAATGCAAATATTGATTTAAAAATTAAAATACATTTTATAGTATTTGCATCAATTAAGTGGATACTAGCTGAGTTAAATGAGAGGGAGGGTATTTCATAGTGATGTCAACAGTTTGAATTTCATCTAATTAGACAACCTGTATGGTAAACCCCATGCTAATATTTTCTGTACTAGCGTTGTATGGATTGGTACTTAGTACCTAAAAGCAGCTGCCTCTTTAATTATCTGTTTTAACAGTTTTTAGTTTTCTCTTTTTTAAGTATCATAGGGAAAACTGGATTCAAGAACCCCATCCCTACCCTTTAATTTACTGTCAATACTGACATTCAGTGCTACATACCCAATTAAATTTATAACATTAAAAATTAGTACATGCTACAACATTTAAAGATTGTTGTCCGCTCTCGTTTCTATTATGTAAAACAAAAAAAGTAACTATCTTAGTTTTAATAAAAATTTCTAGATTGTTTCCGGCTTCTCTTCAAGAAATTACAAGTGTAGCTTAAATATACAATATTCTAGAAGCAGCGGCCCAAAAATGTAATTTAAAAACAACGGTATTATTTTTCGCTAAAAAATCTCAGGATTTCGTCTGGGTTAAAAAAGCCCAGCAATTAAAATAAGAAAGTAAACCCCCCAAAAATGAAGAAATAAACAAAAATGTACCTGCACATGCCAAAAATTATTACAAAAATCCAATAAATACAGAAATTATTGCACAGTTAAAAGGCTCCACGTATATTTTACTGCTTTAAATCATCCTCAGATAGTTTAAAAATTAAAATGCCAAATGAGGCAGTTTAGGCCGGTTTTAATCTTAATCTTATGTACTTATTCTCAGTTGGCAGTTTCTTAGGCAAAAAATAAAATTAACCCAAAATCAATTGGAAAAAAATCCAGCTACCCCCTTTTTTCAAGCAGTGGCAAGGAGGATTTTGAAAACTGGTTTAGCTTCTTTCTGCTTGCTCAATTTTTACCTCGTTCGTCATCAAATGTTCTCCATGCCACTTTTTCATGTGTTTCTCAAGGGTACTGTACACGCTGAAGGGCATTTGGCAAATGTCGCAGCGGTACACTTCCTTACCAAGCTGGCCGTGTGTCTTCATGTGGCGGGTGAGCTTGCTGCTCTGGGCACAGGCGTAGTTGCACAGCTCACACTTGTACGGCCGCTCTCCTGTGTGGCTGCGCCGGTGAACTGTCAGGTTGCTACAGTTCTTGAAAACCTTGCCGCAGAACTCACAGGTATCGCTTCTCCGTCCCTCCTTGGAGCTGGGCCTCCCCGGCCCGGGTCCTCCTCCGAGATGGGGGGTGCTGCCGCCGCTCGCTGTCCCACTGCGCCCTGAGAGGCCCCCGTCCAGCATGTCTCCCGGCGGGGTGGAGAAACGCAGGCTGCCGTTTTCTGAGGAGTGCTCTGAGGAAGTGGCAAAGGGGGATTGTCTAGAGTCGGTGAACCCCAGGAAGGGGTCCTTTATGAAGTGCCTGGATGCTGCATAACCTACCAGCCACTGGGAGTAAACGTTCTCAGAGGGGATCAGGGGAGCTGGAGGCAAGTCCAAATCTTTCTCCACCTTGATTCTCTTGGCTGAGGAGTTGGACAAACTCGGGCTCGTGATAGGGGTGGGCTTCCGAGGAAACAGGCCGACCAAGGAGTCGCCTGAGCCAAAGTTTCTACCATTCACAGCTCCAACCACCTGGTCTATTTCTCCCACCACTGAGTCTTCATCCCCCGTATCCCGCTGCCCATCCGAGCTCCTTTTCAAGAAGGGGCCCCTTTTCCGATTGTCGACTATCAAGTCATTGTACTGCTGGATTGCGCCCAGTCCCACGTTCTCCACCATCTTGCCTAATGAGAGGGCCTTCTCATCTGGTGGAGGTTTGGAACCATTCTCTCTGTTGCGGCTGAACTCTGAGTCCATGCTGAAATTAGACTCTGGCCTACTCTCATTTTCCAGTTCCTCTTCTTCCTCTTCCTCCTCCTCTTCCTCGTTGTCCTGGCCCAGAGATGTTTCACTTTCATTCCTGAACTCTCCTTCTCTGTTCTTTATCCCCTCGCCAGTGATCTCACTTGTGCCTGGCTCTGGAGAGCTCGTAGTTGACAGCCCATCATCAGACCTCCCTGTCATGGAGCCAGACTTGTGCATGTGCGTCTTCATGTGTCTCTTGAGCTTGCTGGCTTGGGAGCAGGCGTGGTCGCACAGCTGGCACTTGTATGGTTTTTCACCCGTGTGGCTTCGGCGGTGCACAACCAGGTTACTCTGAAACTTGAAAGTCTTTCCACAGAATTCACAGGACTTGCTCTTGGACTGGGTCTGTGGCGGGGTGGTGCTATTTGGGGGCATTGGTGGCAGTGGAGGGGTGCTCAGGAATGGGGATTTGGGGCTAGGTTGGAAAGGGTTGAGGAGGCGATGCATAGGGTTGGTGCGGCTCGGCGACAGTGGCGGTGTGGAGTTGTTGTTTCCTGCGAGCTCTCTGAGCCGCCGGGAAAAATCCATAGACTGGGACTCTATTGCCATGGGTGTCAGTCGCATTACTCTTTCAAAGGCACTGGGATGCTGGGAGATTAGGCCCATTTCTTCGGCACTGAGGCGTTCCAGGCGGTGAGGGTCCAGATGATGGCGGGGAGGTGGACTGACGAACGGGGGAGTATTCGGTAGGCGGCTTTCCACAAATCCTGGTGGCTCCCGCAGCACAGGTCCCGTCATCCGAAGCAGATGGAAAGGGTTGCTGTCTCCCAGAAAGTTGGTAAGAGGAGACTGGGGTATAGATTCGGTTCCCATGGGGGGAGGAATGGTGATCCTCGGAGTGAGGGAGCTGCTGGAAGGGTTTGTCTCCAGGTAGATACGGATGCCATGTGTGTTCTGAGCATGCTGGAGGAGGAACCAGGCGCTGGCAAAGGGCTGCTTGCATGTCGTGCAAATGTAGCTTGATGGCTCATCTCTACCTGCAATAAATAAGAGAAAAAAATGGATTGTAAACAAAACATAATTCCCAAAGAGGAGCACATTTTTTAATACTGAAGCTGTTGTTAGCTGTTACATCACAATACTAAAACACTGTCTCTTTATTAGAAATGGTGTCTTGTAGGTTTGAATGTCTACATTTGTTTGACGTTTGAATGAGGGGTACTTGTGATTCTACTAGAAAAGTGAGCTCTACCTCAGGACATGGAATCATCCTAGAAAAAAAAACACTCATACCATAAAGCAATCGAACCACAATTCCTCTGAAAAGAATGGAGAATGAAAGCAGCACAATGGTTCAAAGGTCTCTGTTATGCCTGATGCAAAGTCGACAAATAACAGAAATCTTAACTTTTCCTGTCTTGAGAGATAATGTATCCACCATTACATTAAGATTTAGTATTGATTATACTATTAAAGCTGTAAATATGCTAGAACCTTTAACTTCCATGAATTCCTGATCCTTTGTCAGTAGTTCTATGACATTGCAAGGTTTTGAATTTGATAACGATTTTATCTGCCAAATTCAGTTAAAGAAATTGCCGTGCTTTACATACTCTCAACATGTAAATTACCAGAGTTAGATGGGATGCGCTAATAATGGGGAAAGTGCATGCATGATTTAAGCACTGCTTAATTGTCCTTTTTACAACCCACTGAATATTTTACCAGCAAAAGGCCAGGCAAGTGTGCCTTTACAGCTGAACAGTACTATCTCCCAAAAGACTCTATTTAATCTTTTTCAAGACCAGGATCATCCCTGTAATATCCTGCTATAAACAACACTAAAGATTTGATTATAGACACTGCCATTGCCACAGAAAAAAACAAAACAATCAAGACTTTTCCCCTCTATAAAACAAACAAAAGGTTATATCATGATGAACCCTCGGAAAAAAGATCAATAATAAAAATAAAAACTTGAATCGGAGAGAATAAATTAATATAATTATGAGAGGGTTATTTAGTATTTAAGTCACTGGTATTTAAAATGGTGCCTTGGGCCATTCAGTGTCACTCTAGCCTCACAAAATTAATCAATTACAACAGATGGTTATACTGTCAGAGTTCTTCATTGTGGGTTATTCTAGGTGTCTCCATAAAGCCATTGCACTCACTTTATTACCAGCCTCCCTAGAGAAGTAAACCTCCTTTACTCACTTCTTTCATTTAGCAGGGCAAGGGACGTATTAACCATGACAATTATGTCAGTTACAGAGCTACTTTAAGTACTGACTCCTCCTTAGTGATATGAAGGTTATTTAAAATATACAGGAAAAATAAGTACTTTTAACCCAAGTTAAAACTATATCTTATAAAGAAAGTGTAATTGACCTCTATCCCTGCAGTAACATCAATTGGGATAAATTATTACAAAAAAGTAATGTGAGAGATTTCTCTATTTCTCCTTCTATTGTTTCCAGTGACAGGATAATGTGTCTTTAACAGCTTTCCTCAAATTTACATTCTTTTAGGACTGTTTGAGTCTATTAATTATGAACCATATAGGCAGATTAATCCTTTGCTAACGAGACAGGTCAGTTTTGCAGCAGTCATTATGGTATTCTGTTATGTAGCAGTTTTCAACTTTAATACGGTTTCATATTCCCCAAATGTCAGGTACTGCACAGCTCTACACGATAATGCAGGACTTTCTCAGATCTGTGTGTGATGGAGTGTCAACTGTATGACTGCTGTCCTTCACAGTCTGGTCACTCCCAGGCCTGGGCTGTTTGCTCATCTTTAAAGCCCTGGCCAGCATGCACAAAGAACACGTTTATTTAATTGTTAAACGAGTGGCTAGTAAATCACAAAGCTGATGCATCGTCCACATGGATGAGACATACTAATAATAAAACAGCGATAAATTTGGCACCAACTAAAACATGCATACGTAATCAACTTTTGAATATCAAATATTGAAGTATATAAAATAATATACATCTACATTATCTATATTATGCAAAAATATATAACTAATATAATTAATAATAATGTATATTTATCGTTAAATATAAAACCCTAATGAGTGATTAAATTGTGATTCAACTGAGTAGCATAATTTTAGAGCTTCAGATACATGTAATTACTGCGGCTCTCCTGCTCCAACTAGGAGCCTGGTCAAGTTGATCAAAGCCCTCTGTGCAGAAGAGGCAGGAGCTCTGAGACGCAGCACCGCAGCACCTAAGGAAAGGAGAACAGCAGCTGCTGCAGGCTGCTCTGTACTTTCAGCTGTACATGACAATGTGAGGCTGCTGCCACACTGCCAAGCGCAGGCTCTGCGATGAGAAGGGGACCTGTTTGAGTACTAGGGCAAACAAACAGATATACACAGCGAGACGTGGAGCTAAACTGTAGTGTGGTCTTTGGGGATTTATCAAACCATGCCTAAAATGCTAATTGTGCCCTTGGAAAACAAATCTCATTTATTTATTAAATTAACGCGTACTGTTCTGACCTAAACAATTCTAAAAGTACTGCCGCAGTCATTGTATGAAGACTTGAGTGCTTAGCCGTTTGTCTGTGCTGTATGAGCGAGTGTGCTTATGGAGATCATGAGAGACGTAACGAGATTCCCCTGTAAGCGCACATCCCACTGTGCTGATCAAAAGGAAACCAGGGGAATGTCTCTGTGCTGGTCAGTTCTGTGCATGAGTTCATCCAGTCTTATTATATGCCAGTCAGGATGCAGAACAAGCTTTCTTTAGCCTGGGCCAGGGTTTAAACTCCTTGGCTAAGATTTAATGTATGAACCGCACAGTATGAACTGCGGCACAGTAACAGATGTTTAGAAATTTTAAACAATGGTTTTGATTTTGCCGCTAGCTGTATTAGTCCTGGAGTTTGGCGCAGTTTGTAGGGACCAGCACTCAATTGTTGTGAAGTCCTTGGACAATCTGACATTAAGCTCCAAGTCCATGTAAAATAATATTTTTCGTATGTTAGAATTGCATGCTAAGCACTAAGTATGAAGAAGAAATTTGTAACTCTACACAAATTCCATGTTTTTGTGCCCAAGTGGAGGAAGTAAACCACATAAACTTTGCTCTTTGGCTTTTCTAGAGAGAAATAAGTTAAAGTCACTATTTGATTCCTCTTGGAACTGTCAGTATTTTATGATGATATTGATATGTCTGGCACCCTAAGTTTATTAAGGTTTGTGTGATGAATTTATTTTTCAAATTGAGCTTTTTTTGTATGTGTATTAAATGTATTTTCAAATTATAACACAACTAGTTAAAATAATCAACATTAACTATTTCAGTTATAACAGCATCCAATATTTTTATATCGTTTAATGTAGTTCTATAAGTTTGAAATAAAACAGCAAGTGACTTGAAAGCAGACATACAGTTCACGCTCATTAAAAACCCCTATTATAACACCGTTCCCTGACTCTGACATAAGACAACTGCTATACCTTGGCTCCCAGCAACATTAAATCCTATTAGAATCACCGTCATTATATCACACAACTCGTTATTACTGGCAAAATCGTTAGCTCCCACAGGCACTCTTATGGATGGTGTACGAAATTAAAATGTGTACGAAATGTGGATGGTGTACGAAATTAAAATGTAAATATATTCTGTCTTAGTTTGTAAACTTTATTATTAGTATTATCATCACTATTATTATTTATTGAACAGTTACAAACCATTTTGGGAATAATATCCTACAGAAGACAACTGTGTTTTTTAAGATGTCATAAATTAATTTCTATTCACAGCATTTGTTATTCATCAATTCGTCTAATTCATTGTATCAGTAAAAAAAACCTTTCAACTGAGATATCTATTCTTTGTAATATACCGTATATATACAGTATTAGAATGAATCTTAAGATCTTTAAAAACCAGTGTTTCTTTTCTCTCCATACTGCTACATTACATCTAAACTCCAGGTGCACAGCTTTCAGACATGTAGAAAACAGGGTTTAATTTAGTGAAAATGAAGCAGAATGTGTGATAGCAAACAATGTATACAAAATTTAAGAACTGCTATATACTGTATAACACTTCTTGCCAGCACCCACATCACCCAGACCAGTAGCTGGATGGGAGACTCCTGGGAAAGCTAAGGTTGCTGCTGAAAGAGGTGTTAGTTTAGTCAATAGGGCGCGCTCACCCCACAGTCTGTGTGGGTCCTAATTCCCCAGTATAATGGGACACTACACTGTAAAAAGACACCGTCCTTCGGATGAGATGTAAAATCGAGGTCCTGACTCTGCACGGTCATTAAAAATCCCAGGGTGTTTCTCGAAAAGAGTAGGGGTGTTACCCCAGTATCCTGGACAATTATCCCCCTAGCCTTTAGCAGTCATGGCCTCCTAATAATCCCCATCTCTGAACTGGCTTCATCACTCTGCTCTCCTCCCCACTGAGAGCAGGTGTGAGGGGAGCTGACTGGCGCATCATCCAGGTGGGGCTCCGCAAACCTACAGCACCAATGTCCAATCAGTACACCCCCTTGCCCAGAGGGCCCGCCTCCACCAGGAGGGCGGCGACGGGATGTTTACATCACCAGTCCTGTTGGCCACGTGAGCCAGAAACGAGCAAGGCAGGAGGCCGAAACCAAAGCCGTTCAGGTGGATCGGCCTTCCACTTCCCTCCTGAGAGTGTGAGAACCAGGTTTACGGGTACAGCGCCGTCACCTTGAGATCCAACGCATGAGACGGATTGGGTCCCCCTCCCCTTTCACTTGAGCACTAGATGGAAACTTTCTTACCTTCTCGCTTGCCAGTGCGTGTGCAAACACCGTGCTCTGACACCGACACACCCCTCTCTTGAGATTTGGATAGTCAATAAAGCAGTAGCTTAGTTTGTTTTTTACGGATGTGTGCTTGTGGTTTTGCGTATTTGCAGTTTTTGTATGAACTGTTGGGACAGTCTCTCTGAGCTCAGTCTGCACACTAAGAAATGCTGGGCGTGCTGCAGAGCCGGCGCCCCTGTCGGGACACGGCTGCTGAAGTCCTCCAAAA